TGTCAATTTTTCTCCAACCTATTCATTCTAGTTATTCTTTTCGAAACTTAATTTACTTTAATGTGTTAAACTTAAATTCCGATTCATTAAAACATATTTTTGATACATACTTTAACTACTTTTTTCGTGGAATCCTTTGTTCCAGTTATATAAATTATGTCAGCCGAATTTTTCATACACGGTATTTGAAGACGTGCTCCTGTACGTTTTTCAATATTCTTAAGATTCAGTCCTTGTTTGCCCAATAACGTACTTCGATGTTCTTTTGGAAACGGTGTAGTAGTAGTTTTAATCTGAAATTTTAATGTTTTAGTTAAAATTGCTAAAAAAATATTTTTTCATTTATTTATCTGTAATAAAACTATAAAATAACAAATGATTCATTGAACATTTTAAATTATTATGCACATTTATATATTATAACATTAAAAAATAATAATAATAATAATAATAATAAATTATTCATAATTTGTACACAACAATATAATATATATATATATATATATAATAAATATTATTTTTATCAGTTTATCTTATTAATTCTAACTTAATTAAAACTTATTTACTTGAGTTTGTTCGAATGTGATAATTTTTTGTTTTGCTCGTTCAACATTAACTCTATTGCCGCTGATTTGTAAAGTCAGATCCATGGTTTTTGAAACACAAATCTCTATTCCTACATTACACTCTTTCCCAATTTTCATATATGCTTCCTTACATTTTTCATGCTCCAATTGACTTTTCCTGTCCCAATGTCTGTCTTGGGCAGGTATAGTAATTATCTACAAATTTTACAAAATAAAAATTAAGATATTTTTTTATTTATATTTTAGATATAAATCAACAAAAACTTTCTAAACTATTACTATTCATACTGAAAAATGTTATTTAAAATCATAATAATGATGTTCTTTAATATGAAAATTATCGTTCTATAATTTTTATGTTATTTTTTATTTAACTTTTGACACAAAGTTATTATAGCTCAACAATTAAATCATGTAAGATAACTAAGTATGCATTTTAACATTAATATACAATAATCATTATCATAAAATAATATTAGTAAAATATAATAATTTGAGATAATTATAAAATAAGAGTTAATTTTGATTGACCAATTAAAATTTAAAAGTAACGGATAGCATATCAACTGGTTAAAGACGTGATCATTTAAATGAATAAAGTAGAAAAGAATTTGGGCTTAGGAGTAAGGTGATTGCGTAGGAGAGCTGTAATTATAAAAGAAAGGTAAATATAAGATTTATTAATGCCAGAAGGTCTGAGATAAATTGGAAAGCGGTATATCGTCCATAGGACTATTTGGTAATAGGATATTATTAGAACCAGTGACGGAGGCGCAAGAAGCTTTGGAAAAAAGTTTGATAAGAGGAGACGTGAGTACAATATTTTTATTTTGATGATTACAAGTAGGTTGTTTTGCGACGTTTAAGAAGTAATTTATGTTTAGAACAACCTTTATAGTTGGAAGTATGATCACCCGCGCAAAAGCCGCACTTGGTTAAACTGCCTTTCTCTTTGATGTAACTGTTTCAAGAGTGATTTCCCCTGCGTTTAACACAGCGTGAAGGATGAAGGATCACCATCATTTCCGGTATGGTGATGTTAATAGTTAGCGTAGAGTGACCGTAGCTATGTCAATTTAGACACTGAGGTGAATCACTATAAGTCTTATTGGGTAATTCGACTTAAATTTTAGTGTGCAACATTGATGGTTCATTAAAAATTGTATTTGGATTAATTGCAACAATGAACAGCGGAAGCGTATGGCCATTTTGAATAACATTCGTAATTCTTTTGCGGGAATCTAATTCCAATAGGGCATCTGATATATATATATATATATATAGTGTCCTGATGTTTTTATATTGATGGTAAACAATAGATTCTTTGGTTATATTATGTACGTCATAGGAGGTGTCGAGTTTGATTTCTTTGTCCACTTCGCTCGAAAAGACAGCGAAACGATTACGCGAAACTAATGGTTTAGTGTTTTTCCCCGTATGGATTGGAGAATTATGCTATGATAGCAGCGACCGTTTGGGTTTGGTAGTAAGCGAAGAGGGTATGTTGTCCATCTTGAAAGTGAAGTCGCATAAATACGATATATAATACCGTGAATACTCGTATAATACCGTAAACTGAACTAACTAACTTAACTTAAATAAACTAATAAAGTAACTTAACTAAAATTGCGGTAACGGAACGGGCAAATTATAATCGCACTGACATGCGACCGTATTACAAGTCCATATCAGACTGATCGATCTAATATTTATTAATTACTATTAAAATGGCATGATAAATTACTTCGTTCATCGTTGAAGATTTAAAATTACTCCGTTTTTTAAATTGTGCAGTCCCTATTGTCTCCGAAGTCTTCAAAACTGGCAAAGCTGGAAATGAAAGATTGTAGTTGTTGCCATTACTCATAGCATCTCCTGCACTCGGTTGGCCAGACACCATTGATACATTCTTTATCATTGTAATTTATGTTCTAGACAGATACTTTCCTCAAAAAAATCTGAAAACTAAAATCAGAATGCGAATGAATAAATAAATTTAATTCGTTCGAATTCGATATCAATGTTCAATCAGAATTTGCTTTAGAAAGTGATGTGATACGTCGTATAAATCAACTAAATGTTCATCTATAACTATAAACAACTAACAAACTAAATCACCAATAGTAACAAATATGCAAAATATAATTTTGTATCGATTAATAACGACTAATAATGCAATTTTTTTAAGTCTGTATTATCAAACGATAATCGATCGAAAAAATAAAAAGTTCATATAAAAATCAAAAATGTATTTAAATATTAAAAAGTGCATTTTCGCATATAGACCTCTTAATACACGTGAATTCACGTTTCACGTGTCACGGGTAAAATCCAAAATAAAAACGTAGTTATAACCTTAACTTAATACTGTACTAATAATATTTATTAAAACTTCAAGTGCATAACATAAAATTACTAATTTTCATCATTATAAAAATGGATATATACAGTGTGTAATCGGTTGTTGGAAACACTCTATAACTTAACAAATATTAAAGATATTTGAATTCTGTTTGTGGTGCTTAACAAAGTTTGTTATAACTTATTAAAGTAATTAAACAATTTTTATGCCATTTCATTTCGCGCATGCGCATAACAACTTTTTTTTTTTTAATGGCAACCCCACTATTTTTTGGTTAGTTATTTTTACTCTTATTTTTTCATGAATTTTAGTGGAAAAACCAACTTCCTATGTTAAAAAATAGCTGAGTTATGGATATTTCTAATATATATAAAATTAATTAACATTGTTTTTTTTTTAATCGCCTGAGATATACTTAAAAAAATAGTTGCTTTAGGGAAAGAGGATGCTTTCCAAAAGTAGGTACTAAAAATATCACTAGAAGATATCATGCGGTGCTAAAAGGATTAATTATTTAAGCCATAAAATTGATGAATAATTCAAAAATGTCAAAAAATAATATCAATCACTGAAATATCCATAACTCAGCTATTTTTTAACATAGGAAGTTGGTTTTATCACTAAAATTCATGAAAAAATAAGAGTAAAAATAACTAACCAAAAAATAGTGGGGTTGCCATTTAAAAAAAAAAAAGTTGTTATGCGCATGCGCGAAATGAAATGGCATAAAATTGTTTAATTACTTTAATAAGTTATAACAAACTTTTTTAAGCACCATTAATAAACAGAATTCAAATATCTTTAATATTTGTTAAGTTATAGAGTGTTTCCAACAACCGATTACACACTGTATATATATATATTTTGATAAACACGTATTTCACGTGTACACGTGAATTCCGTGACACGTGCTTTAAGACCTCCATTTACATATAATGTAGGTACTTGTATATTTTTAGTCATGTATGTATTTAAATATTGTTTAGTTTCAAAAGTGATCTGATGGCGAGTAGAAGTGCTGTTTTTTTTAAATTTTTAACGGGACTGTTAAATGGATCACACAAAATAGGAGTACTTATATTGTTTGCGATATGCTTCGTAAAGAAATCTTAAAAAAGAAGCAAGAGGCTTTAAAAAAAAAAAAGATTATGGGTTCGACAATGGGTTAGTAGAAAAAATAATGTTGGCGCATCAGTTTGTTTTGAATTAAGAAATCACATTGATCACGTGGTTCACTATTCGTGTTCGGGAATAAATTGGCCTAAAATTACCTAATTGCATTCAACTTCTGTCCGATGTGTTGGACTGCATGCAAGAGCTTGCATTACGTACTATAAACGTTCAAGTTTGTTCAATTTTGTTCTTGCACGAGTAAAAATAAGCAAAAAAAGTAAAAATAACCTAACGATCTCCCGTTACAGATAATTTTGATTTATACATTAAAATTTGATTTAATAACATTTACATTCACCAATTTACTATTTTTGGTAGGTGTAATCATATTCTGTAGATATTTGATTACATAATTTAATAATGAAATATAATCGAAAATAATGAAAACCTGAAGTTGGATAGATTCAATTCGACAATATATGATTATGTATTATACTGTTGAAAAAATAAATCATAATCAATTTAATAATAACCATTTGATCAACAATAAAAGGAAAACGAGTTTGAATAAATACAAACAAAACGAGTGTAGGAATCGTTGAGTGGCGATAAAAACGAAATCGTCATGTTATTTTATGATTTATTATATTGTCAAGTCATATTTTATATTATATTTGTACTGTGCGTGTGTACCTTTTAATAAAAGGCATACAATTCAATAGTATAAAAAAATAAAAGGAGGAAACATGTAAATAATAATTTGATGATTCAATACAATATATTATGAAAGTTAGTAAAATATGTTATGAATGTAATCAAGATAGATATAATGGAAGACTTAAGGAGAAAAATTGTGTCACATGAGATTTGTAAGAAATTTAACTAATCGAAAATATTTTGAGATTAGAGAAGGAAGAGCAGTCGAGAATCAACGATAGAATTGATGTTGCACTAAACTTTCTCAAAACAAAGAGTGCATATAGGAGATAAATTAAGGGTTGAAGATATAATTGGTAAGATAGAAGATAATGGTCGAAAAATAAACAAAAGACGGTTATAATATGCTAAAGATATAGTAGAAATAGCAATAAATTATGGCCAGAAGGTGATAAAATGTTTAATCGATATAATTATTATGTCATCTTGGAATTAAGGTTGAAGATAAAAAATTCATTGAAAATTATAAATAATATATATTTAATAATATATTTTAAAATATATTTCAGTCATGACAAATATTTTATTTATTCTGGAAAAATTAATATTTGTAAATCATGTGACAGCATTAATAATATTTTTAAAAAATAATTTAAAATTCCTGGTTCATACTATTTTACAGTTAGACTAAACTTATGCAATATGTTAATATTAATGTTGTTAGCAAAAAGAAAAAAATATTCTGCTTTAGGCTCGAATGAACAAAAGTCACTATAAACAGCATTTTAAGTATAAAATTCGTAAACATAAATCAAAAATGCGCATTTTAATGATCATACGTTGGTTATCATAGCATCTTAGTGTTAAAAATTAGATATTAATTTTAAACAACAATATTAAGGAACGGATAAATGGTTTTTATTTTGAAAAACCTTCTGGTAAATAGAGGATATATAAATTTTAATATTGAATTCAAACAATAAACTTAATAAAAATATAATGGCTATGAAAGTATATATGTATATAATATAGTTCATATTATTAATATGTAAAAATACATTATAAAAAAAAAAAAAAAGAAGGAATTTGCATTTAAATATTTTAAGTTGTATTCATGAGTGAAATAATGAAAAGTAATCTGTAAAACAAACAATGGAAAAAGTATTTGAAATTATTTAAACTTCAAATTCGTCTTTCTAATATCACCATATTGCTTTAAAATGATAAAATAGTTAGAGATTTCATTGTGAGACATTTTGAGAAAAAACAATTATTTTTCCATTGGATATCGTCCATTAATGAGAGTAATGTAAAAATACAATTTTTGCTTTTTTATAACTAGAGCTGTGATTTAGATGCACTTTGCATTTTTTTCTGAAACTTTTTGTACGATGCTCGTTTTGTTACAAATATGTTTTAGGTATTTTTAAATTTTATTTTGCATTTTTTTGTATTTTTTGACAATATTTGATTTTAAGGTAATTTTTCTTATTTTTTAGGGCATTTTAAGGGTTTTTAAGTAATTTTTGACGTTTTTGAATTTAAAATTAAAAGTTATAGATTATAGATTTTTTCTATCGGCGGATTAGCGTTATTATATAAGGTATCCAATGAAAAAGTTGCTGCTGAAAAACGTTTATACCATACAATAACATTTATTAAGAAACAAACATATAAATGGAGTGCAGCAAAGAGAATAAATTGAAGAAGAAAAAAAAATATGTTACAAAGTTTTATTGCCGATGTATCAGGTCACACAAATAGATCAGAATACTTTTTAGATTTAACTTGTGTCTGTCTTTAATGTAATATTCCGTTAAATAAGCTCGATAATTTTAAGTTACGTTAATTTTTGGAAAATATTTTAAATGGACAAGAAGGTGCATAAAATGAATTTCTGGATAATCTTACAGCGAGTGTTTTTATTTACTTTAAATCCTCACCTATAACTTCAGTAGATTTGAAAAGGAGTTTTTCTATCTACAAAAATCTATTGGTGGAGGGGATTGCTATTTGAAAATATGAACATTCTCGTGATTCAGTGTAACATAAAGAATAATTTATTTATTTATTAATATATAAAGTAAAATAAAATATTTATGTACATGTAATGTAATTTTTTTAAATTTTAAGTTATTTTAAATAAATTTTAAAACATTTTTTGCGGTTTTTAACGACATTAAAATCCCAGCCCTATTTATAACACTCTAAATAATGGACGCTACCTAATAGAAGATATGTTATTATAATTCACATTTTACTTTTATTTGGTATAATATTGTAATAAATTAGTATACAATTTTGATAATGATTGTTTTTAACTTCGAGTAATTTGAAAATGCAGTAATTTTTTTTTATTTGTATCTATTTTCAGATCTATGATATTCAAGTACTGATAGTACCGAGTACTGATGGTATTCGAGTTGTAAGATCTACTAATAATTGTTTTTAGTTGTTAAGAGATTGAATAGGCCAATTGTTAAGAAAAATTTTGTTACAAATATATGTATGTATCAGGTTTTTGTACCTTTAAAGAATGCTCGCCATTTTAGTCAGTTTGCTCTCGGGTGATAGATGATGTTTTTTAATTAAATTTATCCAAGAATATTAACCCTTTGAATTTGCGCACATACAATGAATACATTTGTTTTGTTTTTTTTGGATTAAATTTAATTAATGTTGTAAGTTGTTACATGGAGACAAGCAACCACTATTTCTATCAATTTTTTTTTAAATTTATTATTATAAAAGCCACATATAATCAACCCATGACAGAATACAGAAAT